TGATTCTGAACAACCACAGTACAATTAATCAGTCATGATATGCATATAAAAAAAAATGAAGACAACCCACTGAATGGGAGAGAAATATTCACAAATGATACATCTGATAGAGTTATCATTTATATATAAAATATATAAGGAACTCATACAACCTAACACCAAAACAAAATTAAATTTAAAAAGTAGGTAGAGGACATAAATACATTTCTGCCAAGAGGACATACAGATGACTAACATATGAAAAGATGCTCAACTTCACTTATGAGGGAAATGCAAATTAAAACCACTGCAAGATATCACCTCAAACCTATCAGAATGGCTATCAATAATAAATCAACAAATAACAAGTGCTGGTGAGGATGTGAGGAAAAGGGAACCTTCATGCACTGTTGGTGGGATTGTAAATTAGTACAGCCACTATGGAAAAGTTTAGTGATTCCTCAAAAAATTTAAAACAGAGCTGCTATATGATCCATCAATTTCACTTCTGTGTATTTATCCAAAGAAAACAAATTCCAAAATATATATGCACCCCTATGTTCACTTCAGCATTACAAGTAATAGCCACACTATGAAAATATGGAAGAGAACTTAGATGTACATGAATAAATCAATGGGTAAAGAAAATGTGAGTGATATATGATATGATATATATGATATATATCATATGATATGTCATATCATATATATATATATATGAATTACTATTCAGCAATACAAAAGAATGAAATCCTGACATCTGCAACAACATAGATAGACCTAGAGGGTGTTATGCCAAGTGATATGTCAGACACAGATAGATAACATCTCATATGTGGAACCTAAAAAGAAAGAAAGAAAGAAAGAAAGAGAGAGAGAGAGAGAAAGAGAGAAAGAGAGAGAGAGAAAGAAAGAAAGAGAGAAAGAGAGAGAGAGAGAGAAAGAGAAAGAAAGAAAGACATAGAGAACAAGCTGATGGTCGCCAAAGGGGAGGAGTGTGAAGGGAAATAATAAACAAACAAACAAACAAACTCCAGTGAAAAAACAAAGGAAGAAGCAATTAATTCTCTCAAAGTTAACAGCACAAACCTTCACTGAAAAGGTAAATATAATCAGGCTGTTTGAGGAGAATTTCATGGGATGTCTGCAGAGCACATTCCAGGTTTCGGAGTGAAAAACAAGAGAGCAATGGTATTCATGACCATGCCATATCCGAAGAGCTCAATTTGCCTAATATGTATGGTGTGTGGAGACAGAATGACGGGTATAGAAAATAAAGCTGGAAGATAAATGGATATATTTTGATAAATCTTACATAATAGGTGAAGGAATTTTTACTTTATCCTCTAGGTACTAGAAAAGAGTCTTGGTAGGTTTTTAAGCAAGGAAGTGGAGGTTGGGGCAAGGGGGTCAGGTGGCATGATCAGATTTATGCGTTAGAAAAAATATGCCAATGAATCAGGTAGTGAGACTCTCTTAAACTATGGCAGTAGTGGTGCAAGTAGGAAGACATGAATCCCAAAGACAATTCAAGCCAAATCAACAGGGCTTCATGACTCATTAAATGTAGGGGCTGTGAGACAAGGACACTCAGGACATTTTTAGTTTGTACTACTGAATTGATGCTGATGCCTTTGACCATAGAAGGAAATACACAGAGGGAGAAACAAGTTTAGCAGAGAAAATGAGTCCAGCCTGTGACCTGCTGAAATGGAAGTGACCATCTGACAGTGGATCATGGACATGTGGTTAAAAATCTTCAGAGAGCCATGTGGCTTGGGTAGATAGATAGTGGAGGACCTGGGAGAAGGTGCTTTTACCATTTGATCCAGCTCTCCTTATTCTTATTCTGTGGTACTTACCAGGAAACTTTCTAATATTAAGATTAGCTTATCGAATTGTATTTTTATTAACTTGGTAATTTTACCTGCAGCCTTAATGTTATAACCTTGAATTGTGGTTTATCAATCATTCTTTTCTGTGTTTAGGACTCTTGAAGAAGTGAATGAGGGTTAATAGAACAGATAAATGAAATTCCTGGATTTCCAAAGTTTAGTATTAGCTATAACCATCCCCTTTCCCCAGGTGCAGACCCCTCCCCCCGCCCCCTTACTGACCCCAGGGCCTTGCCTTAATAGCCAGCCAGCCTATCTTCAACATCACTTCTTAACTACAGGTATAAAAACCATGAAAAGTTAGAAGTAGGTCTGTTTGAGGTTTACTTTTATAAAACCTGTGAAAAATGAATTTTGAAGCATATTCATGTTATAAATGACATTTAATCTACATAGAAAACAAATTATACAAACACCTTAGCAAAAGTCACTTAGGCTGAAAAAAACGTATATGCTAAACATAAATAACCACTCAGCTATTAAAGCAGGTTTAACAGTCCCTCCACCTGGAAGCCTTTATTATCTATGAGTGAACATTAGAAACATGTAAAACAATAAAATTACAGCTCTAAAATTTATCAATCAGTAATTCACAGGATTCCTGAACACAACTGCCTAAGGGGTCAAGCAAATAAGGCAAAGAAACAAAGGTGGGGCCTGTGAGACAGCCACACTCAGAGATAGAAGTGCCTGCCCTGTTAAAGGGTACAGCTACTACTTACAGGAGGGCCAGCCAAGTTGTTACAGAACAGACCCAAGGGCCGGGGGGTGAATGATATACTATGCTGAATGGACTCACCCTTGTGCTCTGGGGGTCCCCCACCCCATACTAGGTTTGCCTTGCCTGCTGCTGTGAAAAGACATCTCTTAATGCCAGAGACTGGTGAAAAGGAAGGGGATTATTTATTTAAAAGTTATACAGACTTAGAGTAACGACTTAATGTCTTCATAAAAAATACTAAAGACCTTTAGAATACCAGGTCCTGGCTGGTGTAGCTCAGTGGATTGAGCATGGGCTGCGAACCAAAGTGTCACAGGTTCGATGCCCAGTCAGGGTACATGCCTGGGTTGCAGGCCATGACCCCCAGCAACCCCACATTGATGTCTCTCTCTCTCTCTCTCTCTCTCTCTCTCTCTCTCTCTCTCTCTCTCTCACTCTCTCTCCCTGCCTTCCCTCTCTAAAATAAATAAATAAATAAGACATTCATCAGGGAGGGTGTTGTCAAATATATTAAAAAAAAAAAGAATACCCACAAATGCACAGTCCTTCCTTCTCCCCTTTGCCCGGTCTGGGGTACCATATCTCAGGAAAAGAAGTAGAAGTCTGTGGTTCAGGCAGCCCCTCGGTTCCAGCACCATCTGCTGTGTTGCTCTGTCACTGTCGTGATCTCCAGTTAATCCAAAACCATGTGGCACCTTCTAATGGCCCACCAGCAAGAACCCTTTCACCCCTTTTCTTCCAGGCAAAGTCTCCCCTGCTTCCTAAGCCACATGGCAAAAAGGAGCACCCCAAAGCTGCACAGTCCCAACTTTTGCCAAAGCCTCATGGTCCACCAAAAAGTCCCACATGGTTGTCATGCCTGGGTTTTAAATCCCAGCGCCAATCTTCCTCTGCGGCCCCATTTCCAACTCCTCCCACAATCAGTTACACTGCCAGCATTCCAGTAATCTTCCAGCCTTCCTGGGCTGCCATAGTAAGTCCGGGCAGGTGTGGCCCTGTGATGTGGAGCCAATCATCTCTAAGCTCTCACACATGCACTGTAACCAGGGGGCATTGACTCCCAGTTGCATCATGGGTTGAAGTCACTCCCATCCCCCTGGCTCAAGGCATTGCCACAGCTGTTTAACATATCTATGACACCAGTTAAAGTTATAGATATGTTAAATGACCATTCTAGAGGTTATCAGCAAAACTGTTGCTATTCAAAACAACTCTCAATGGCCTCACTCCATGTGTCCCATCCCCCAGCTCAGACTTGTAGGGGTGAGGACATCCTATAAATATATTTTCTAATATTTTCTAGACACCCTGAGTTCTGGATCCCATTACAAGTCCCAATTTGCACCCCCCCTTGGCTGCACCCTGTTACAAAGTGTTGCCAATAATTCTGTTTTCTTCAAGGGGACAGAAACCCCATGTAAAATTTCCACAACTGAAGAACATCACATGGACCTTTGCTCTAATTGTTCCCAGTTAGTGAAGTTTTATCACACTGTAGTTCCCATCCCTTATCCTTGGGAACTAGGGTCCAAAACCCTCAGTGGAAGCTTGAAACTGAGGATAGTACCCAACTTTATACATACTTTGTTTTTCTTTCTGTACATACCTACCTACAATAAAGTTTAATTTATAAATTAGGCACAGTAGAAGGTTAGCAACACTAATTAATAATGAAATAATTATAACAATATGTAATGATAAAAGTCACGTGAACGTGGGCCTATTATAACATCTTACTGAACTGGATTCACAGCGAAGATGAGAGAGACAAAGGGATGATCCTCATCAGCGCAGAATAGAACAGGACGGCATAAGTTTTCATCATGTTACTCTGCATGGGGTGCAATTTTAAAACAATACTTTTTTATTTCTGGGGAATTTTCCAATAAATATTTTTGGATCATGGTTGACAGAGAGTCACTGAAACTGTAGAAAGTGTAGCATCCAGCAAACGCGAGAACAAATATCGGAGACTCTCAGGGTATCAAAGATGTTACTTTATTGGCCAAGTTTAACCTGCGCAGGGGCGAACTCTCAAAGTGTCCAGCGACACAGTGCCCACAAGGAGCTGCAAACGAGAGCCGTGCCGAGTGCTTACAACTACGTTCTTATACAGGGGCGGGCAAGCAAGCGTTATACAGAAGCAGACGTGGCAGTTAGTAATTCGCTTACAAAGACCGCGCGCGGGAATTTCAAACCAAGCATTCTTTCATAAGGCAGGAAGGCAGGATGTTTGTTCATTAACCTAGTAATCTCCTGGCTCTAGCTAGCTAGTTTTCTATTTTCTCATTAAAAACTACAAAGCACTGCTTATCTAGCCTACCCAGGGGAGAGCATCTGCTAGACACAGGATGTTTGCTTTAATTGTACTTTGTCTCTTTTATCATTTCTTTTTAGCTACAATGTGGTTCTTGTCTATTAAGGTTAAATTTAGTTCTTAATTTCCTTGTTCCCAACAGAAAGTAAAACAGTGAATAAGGTGGGACAACTGTACATCAATTTAATCTATGTGAACATTAAATAGCTGATGAAGCTAAAACATTGACTATGTAATAAATTTTTAATGTTTAACACTATGTATGATTTTAAAAATAAACTTCTATCCCAAGCATAATAATCTTATTCTAATATCTAACTGGTGTCATGATTTCAGTCTTAATGCTGCCAAACTTCTAACAAATAAAAGATGAACATACCAAGTTCACTTTTCATTTTTAATAGAATGAAATACATGTCATGGAAAACCATTTTTATTTTTTTCAAAAAAATTCACACAACCAATGAATGCACGTACCAGCACCAAACATTAGCTAAACTTCACAGATGCAAAAATGCTTTTAAATACTTGCCATTGTTCATGATTTGGTGGTCTCCAACTAGGTTTCATCAACAGCTCTAGTTAAGTTCACCTTGACCGCGTGAGTGGTTTTAGTGTGACCACCGCGGAGACCAGCTATGTAAACCTGAGGCCTGGGCACACCAGTGCTGCCTTCCCTCTTAGACTGCGTGCTCTCACTCTTTGAAGAATACATCTGTGAAAAATTTTCTCTTCTCATGTGGCTAAGATCAGTTTGTACCGAGTGAGTAACTCTTTGACGCAAATTGGCCTAAATAGAAAGAGAATACATAGGAATTAACATTTATCTAAGAATGACTAATATAAAATATTAGGTATCAGTTAATGCTTGCCTATTTTTTCTCCATCCACAAAGAAAGTAATTTTACAACATACCATTTTTATAAGACATTAGAATGTTTGGAAATCTAGAATGTAATAGAAAACATACTTTGTCACAAAGTATGAAAATATATTAAATAATGAAAGTGGATCCAAACAAAGAACATGCAGGTTCAAAGTGATCTCAATTACTTGTTAATATCATCTTCTAATTCCTTCATTACTATACTTTGAGATTCATACAACTTGGATGTTTCTACCATGCTCAGTTTCTATTTTTTAAAGACAAAAATTAAAGATTTCCATTGTCCTGTTTAAATGGGCTTTACCCAAGACTCTTAATATAAAAACCTCTGGTGTTTTCAGGTTATATTTTACATTATTCTACATTTTGCTTACTCCTTTTGTGGATTACTAATAAACATAAAGTTAAAAAGATTGATTACTCAGGCTGAGAAACAAGGAGAGGCCAATAAAAAGGAGAATATGAGTTACTGAAGTTATGGTGAAGTCCAAGAAAAAACTCAGAAGGCATGTAAGTTTAGGAGAGATGGATATTAGAGAAAACGTTTCAGAGTTTGAGATACTGCAGGTGATTGAGAACCAGAATTGCTTCCCCCCGCCATCCACAGTTTATTGTTTATATTAATATGACTTTACTATTCCATTATCTTCATTAGCATAATTTTACGATCCCAAGAGACACTTGTCAAAGCAAATTTAACTAGACTGTTATTATAGAACATCCTGAAAGATGCATCAATTCTTCAATAGTAAGCATTAGCACATAGATTAAGCACTAGGGTTCTTTGCATCCCTTGCCTCAGAAGTCACCTTACTTTTCCTGTCAGTGCTGGACTGCTTCTTCATGATCTTTATCCAACCTAATTCAAGGCTCTATCTCATCCACCAACCTACCCCAGCACTCAAAGACCTGCCTTCAACCAAACTTCAAATTCTCAATAAATTCTGACCTTGCAATTTCTCCTTTGAGATGCTGCCAAAGCTCTGTTGAGGTGGTGGTTTCCCTCACGACTTGAAACCAATATACTACTCAGCTTTGTATTGTCAACAGGTTGTGCGGGCAATATATGGGGAGCTGGCATTCAACACAATGCAATTCTATGGGATAATTAAGTCTAAGGTGGGAATAAAAATGAAGTGGTTATTGAAAAATGAGAAGAGAAGGTTCATCAGTATAAAATTTAGCCCCACTACTAACCAGAGAAAGCCAAATATGCTCATCAAGCCAATCACATAAGATGCCCAACTACAGTTTCCTCATGTCAACAATCTTCAATCAGAGAATAACGAAGGCACTATCTTTTTTCACTATATAGCTTTCCTACTCTTCTCCCTGCTCTCGAGCCTCTGCCAAAGATGAGTGATGGTGGCTGGCTCCCACACTATAGCAAACTCTGAATAGCCTGTGTTCTCATTTGGGTCATCTTCATTTATCTCCACACCAGTTTTCAGTTAAAGAGATGTGTAAAATATGCTAAGAAAAACCTACAGATATAAAAAGTGTTTGCTGACTTCATATTAAAATTAATTGTTCTTTAAAATGACAAGACACTACAAATAGGGTGAGTGGGGGGAATTCCACTGAGTCAGATGGGGATGATCAAAGACAGGCTTTAATGGTAGGCACCCACTGTGCCTGAGATGGCTGAGAGTCAGGACTAGAGAGCCCCATGTCTGGAGAGGACATGTTCACTACAAGAGGGGACAATATTTATGATATAACAGAGGTGTAACATTCTGCTCCTCAAAAAAAGTCCAAATAAGAGGAGGGTATACTTGAAATGATTAGAGGAAGTTAAGAGTGCTTTAAATACTGGCACCTCATAGAGTAACACAATAAATTAAAACTATTCTATAGATCAATAGAAAGAGAAATTATTATTGTTCTAGCTCCTGGTTGGTATAATTTGAGAATAGTTTCATGCTCTGTATTTCTACATATGCTTAAAATTAGAATAAACCTTTTAATGTAAAGCTGGCAAATAATAAGTTAATGCTGATTACTTTTGTGTTAGCAAAGAACTCTGTACAACTCACTATTTTATAAAAATAATTTAACTTAACAATGCTATAAGTAACAATATATTAAAATGTCACAGCCTATAACTAATTTTAGGAAATATTGTTACAAACCAATTTTATAGCTTTTCTTCTTAATTCCCATTCATTCCATTCATATGATCTCACAATTGTTGGTGGCAATATGTGTAGATCCGTCTGTGTGCTAGTTTCACTCTTTGTAATTGGTTTTATATGTTTCTTAACACCCTTCATCTAAAGAAATGGAGTTTTGTAATTAATTCTGATAAAAAATAAACATTATTTATAGGTAACTAATAAATTATTCAGCTAAAACTGACAAAAGATTAGGAAAAACAAACATTTTCGAACATGGTATATATCTATAATACCATCAGAGAATATAAGCTCATAGTAAGCTATATGAAATTTATTTTCCTGGGCATTGTGGCTTTGTGCATAGTTTTGTAAATTTGATGTAGGAGGTAGATTTTGGAAGGCGAAAACCTAACGCACTCATTGCCAAGTCAAATGCCCCCTCTCTGACTTTCACAATTGGTAGTATAAGTAACATCTCATTGGAAATGGACAGAAGTTTAAAATAGCCATTAAATATTAGGTATAAATCACATTTCTTTAAAGTATTGGAACATCTTTAGAACATACCATAAACTCACACTAGGCATATGAGGGGAAACTCAAAAAAGCCTGGAATTTATTTATAAAAAATCGTGTATTTATTTTTAACATGTTTAAACTTTAGTCACCTTCAAAATACTCTCCATCTGATGCAATACACCTAACAAGGCTTTTCCACTGCTCAAAACATTTTTTTAACTGGTTGATTTTCATGCCATTTAGTGCATCTGCTGTTTTTTGTTTCACCTCTTCCAGAACATTTCCCTTTGAGGACTTTTTCCATCCGAAGAAACAAAAAAAAAAGTTTCTGTGGGCAAGATCAGGTGAACAGAGAGGGTGGGGAGTGGGGGTTATGCTGTTTTTTGGTCAAAAACGGCTGAACACTCAGCACAGTGTGGGCAGGTGTACTCCTAAATCACCCATCATGAAATCATGGGCAAATGCATTGAAAAAGTCTTCCAAAAAATTCACTGAAGCCAAAGGCAGCCTCTCACAAAAACGACCAGCTGGTACACTGATACAGATGGGTTCCTGGAACACTCATCTAGAGAGAGAAGCCTGTATTACAAGGGGCCTGCTCTGCAGAAGATAATTCCAGGGTTTTTTGGGTCCCCCCTTGTACTTAGATAGATTATTATCTAAGAGGTGGTTTTTAATTTTAGTTGAATATGTTAAGTTTCTGCTAGTACACCCAGAAGTTCACTATTACTATTCAAATACTAAGTACTATTCAGTAATTCCATGCTAAACAAAATGCAGCGATGCTGGACATGAAGTTGCTGGAGGAGTGAAAGAATTTAAGGAGCTCAGTCACAGCACAAAGGAGAGAGAAAAGATTAACTTTTTTCCTAAGTCAACAACAGATATGAGTGCCTAAAATTTAACATAAGATATAATTTCTACCCTCAAAATGAACTTATGATATAGAGAGGCAGACAAAAACATACTGAAAAGATAATTAATGGTATTATATAGTATAAGTAAGTGGCAAGTAAATAATGACCACAGCATTGGAGGGAGATAACTTACTTCATGGGTATTGAAGGTCACTGAAGAACAGCTGGGAATTACCACTTTGCTGTGTATAATGCGCACTTTTGTGCCCAAATTTTTGAGGGAAAAATAAGGATGTGTATTATACATGGGTAGTACTAATTGTGTATCTATGCAAATGATTTTAATTCTTTTATTTATGCTTATTCATTAAAAGTGTAACTCTAGAAAGCAATAATGATATCCATATGCAAAATGATACTCTAGAATAAAATCATCAGTTTTGTTTCTAAATATAAATAAATAAAAATTGAATTAAAAAATTAAAATGGAAGATTTTTTCCTGAAAGTTTGGGCCAAAAACGTGGGTGTGCATTATACACAGCAAAATATGGTAAATAGAAAGCAAGGGAAAAACAAGACCAGAGATGGAGTGTTACAGAACACATACACACAGGGCCAAGGGGGTACAGTATACTATTACCAAAAGGTCCCCCACTAGGTTTGACTATTCACTGCCTTAGGAAAGATGTCTCTCAATGCCAGAGATTTGTGAAAAGGAAAGGAAATGTTTATTTAAAGCTATACAGACTTAAAGTAGTGACCTAATGTCTTCATTAAAATATCAAAATCCTTTTGGATACCCACAGACGCCCACAGTGCTTCCTCCTCCCCCTGCCCTAATTCGGGATACTGTATCTCAGGAAAAGAAGCAAATGTCCATGATTTAGGCTCCCGACATTGTCAGCTGTGTCACCATCCAGGCAGGATTTCCAATTAATCCAAAGCCATGTGGCACCTTCTTATGGCCTACTGGCAAGAGTTCTTTCACCCTTCTTCCAGGCAAAGTCTCTCCTGCTTTCCAGGCCATATGGCCAAAGGGAGCACCCCAAAGCCCTGTGGTCCTCTTCTACCAAAGCTGTGGGGTCCCTACTCTGCCAGAAGCACGTGGCTCTCTCCTCTATTGCCCCAGCTGAATGGTTCTCTCCTTTCACCTAAACTGCAGGGGTCCCCACTCTGGCAAAGCCACGTGGTTCCTCTCACATGGCTGCAGGGGTCCCCACTCTGCCAGAAGCACGTGGCTCTCCCCTCTATTGCCACAGCCCCATGTACTCTCTGCACTGCCACAGCCATGTGGTCCCCTCTGCACGGGCTGCCATGTCTCAGTTTAAATCCCCGCACCAATCCTCCTCTGTGGCCCCATTTCCAACTCCTGCCACAATCGGCCCACACTTGCCAGTACTCCCATCTTCCAACTTTACTGGACTGCCATCGTGAGTCTGGGCAGGCATAGCCCCATGTCATGGAGCCAATCTTCTCCAAGCTGTCATGCAGGTGCTGCAGCTCGGAGGACCTGCCCCCAGTTACATCTTGGGTAGAAGTCACTCCCTTCTCCCTGGCTTAAAGCATGGCCACAGCTATTTAACAACCAGTTAAAGGTTATAGATATGTTAAATGACCACACCAGAGGTTAGCTGCAAAGCTGTTGCTGTACAAAACAACCCTGCATGTTCCTGCTCCATGTGTCCCTTCCCCCAACTCATACCTGTGGGGGAAAGGGTGAGGACATCCTATATGTCTTTCTAATACTTCCTAGACACCTTGAGTTCTGCACCCCATTCCAAATCCCTATTTGGGGCCCCCCTCTTGGCTGCACCCTGTTACCATAGGGGAAAATTTTTCCTTAATGTAAAACTATGCATTGTTTACATACAGCACACCTCTCTGCTTATCCAATGCTAAACTTTCATTGTCTTTGGCTGTCTTACAATTCTTTAAGTCACTGCTTGGGTCCCTGCTGACCTGGTCAGTTGTACACAAACCCACCTGCTTCATAGTCAAAATGTTGATGAAAACTTAAAAAAAATTTATGCAGTGTATTTCAGGGTTTTATTTTAGTGAGTTTAAAAGAGAGGAATTGAATGAAAGAAGCGACAGAAACAAGCAATGATGAAAAGGTGAACCATAAAAATGAGAGACAAAGAGGAAGAAAATGAAAAGAATATACAGTAGAATGTGAGCCCCATACAGGCAGGATTTCCTATCTGTTTTGTGCACTGCCGAGTCCCTGGTACCAAGAACAGTGCCTGGTACACAGTAGTGGCTCAGTAAACATCTGCTGAATGAATAGGCACCGACCTACTGTTATAGGGTACAGCCAAGAAGGGGGCCCCAAATAGGGATTTGAAATGGGGTCCAGAACTCAAGGTGTTTAGGAAATATTAGGATGTCTCCCCCCCCCACCCCTACCCGGGTGTGGGCTGGGGGAAGGGACAAATGGAGCAAGGCCATAGAGAGCTGTTTTGCATAGCAACAGTTTTGCATAGCAACAGCTTTGCAGCTAACCTCTGGTGTGGTCATTTAACATATCTATAACCTTTAACTGGTTACATAGATATGTTAAATAGCTGTGGTCATGCTCTAAGCCAGGGGATGAAAGTAACTTCCCCACCAAGATGTAACTGGGGAGCAGGTCCCCCGAGTTACAGTGCATGCGTGGGAGCTTGGAGAAGATTGGCTACATGACATGGGGCTATGCCTGCCCAGACTCACGATGGCAGCCCAGAAAAGCTGGAAGGATATGGGAGTGCTGGCAAGTGTAACCAATTGTGGGAGGGGTCGGAAATGGGGCTGCAGAAGAAGATTGGTGCAGGGATTTAAACCCAGACGCAGGCCTAGGGGAGAGAACTCTCGGTCTTTAGCAGAGTGGAGACTCCCGCAGCCCTGCAAGAGAAAAACACCATGCAACTTTAGCAGAGAACCTCCACTCAGCTTTGGCAGAGTGGCAACCCCCCTCCTGTAGCCATTGTGGAGGGAGAACCATGCAGCTTTGCCAGAGTGGAGACTCCCGGGGCCATTGTGCAGAGAGGACCATGGGGCTGTGGCAATAGAAAGGAGGGGCCACACAGCTTTGCCACAGTGGGGACCCCCACAGCTTTAGGAGGAGGAACCAGCACCCAGCCTTAGCAGAGGACCCAGCGACACAGTTGATGGTGCCGGGAACCGAGAGAGGCGTACCAGCTGAGATGGATTGATTACTTACTGGGAAGAACAAGGGGCTGCCTGAGCCACGGACTTCTATTTCTTTTCCTGAGATATGGTACCCTAGACTGGGCAAAGGGGGGAAGGAAGGACTGTGTGTGTTTGTGGGTGTTTTAAGGGACTTTGGGATTTTGATGAAGACATTAGGTCACTACTTTAAGTCTGTATAGCATTAAATAAACATTTCCCTTCCTTTTCACAAATCTCTGGCAGTGAGAGACGTCTTTCCTCTGGTGGTGGCAATCGAGCTGGGCAGAGGGTCCTTTCATTAACAGTATGTCACCTCAGGCCCCACTTTGGTTCTGTAACACTACAAACACACCACGTTGTGGCCGTTCAAACTTGCGATTTAAACATGTTAAATTATTTTACAACTTTGTGTTATCAATATGTTATCTGTGCTGAATTCCTTTAATTGTAGATAAGAAAATATTGTAGTTTCAATGAACTATCTTAATATAGTCTTTCTTATTTAGGTTTCTCCAGCCAAATTCATCAATTTAACTCCTTATCCTGCTTTCACTATTCTTTGTGGATTTTCTTAGTTTCCATCTCCAGATTCTAATACTTTTCAGATAATCTGTAAAGACCCTCATCTGACTCTCCCTCTGCATGGACTGGAGAACAACAAAAATATAACTTTTAAATTAGCTATATTTTTAAATGTCATAAATTCTTAAAATATTAATCCCATTTACCTCAGAACATGGAATGAGGGTTTCAAACTGTTGATGAAGTTCCAGTAGCTGAATTAATTCTGCATTTTTTTTGGCCTTTTCAGTAATTAAGTCAATATAATTTTCAGGGTTTTCTGCAAATGAATATGCAGCATCTCTGGTATTAAAAGTGTAATACTTTTCTTTATGTTTCAAAATTCCAATTGCTGGATTTCCTGAAAATTAAGAAAAGGGATTGAATGAGCTATGAATTATTAAGTGGCTGTGTGTTTGTAATGCATCCACGGAACCATTTTCTTTATACTCAATTTTCAACATATTACTTGGGTTTTTATTTTGCTAAAATGTTACAAAAAGCAATTTTAAAGTGTACGTTTTGTTAAACTATAGTTTATTGAAAATTCATATTACATTAATTAATTTTATATGTTTTTATTATAAAACATGATTTTATATAAAAATATTTCACCATCCATATATAGGTGTTTAAATGTCTATTATGAGAGGTCAATCTGACAGTTTTCTCAAATCTCCCTAAATTAAACTAAATTTCACATAAACATTGTTTTAAAAATAATTCTGTAAGAACTACAAAAGTGGGACATCTTTTCCAAAATGTAAGTTTGCATGTTAGAAAGTATTTCCCTCCCTGGCTGATGAGGCTCAGTGGATTGCATGCTGGCCTGGGAACCAAAGGGTCACTGGTTTGATTCCCAGTCAGGGCACATGCCTGAGTAGCAGGCCAGTTCCCCAGTAGGGGGTATGTGAATGGCAACCACACATTGATATTTCTCTCCCTCTCTTTCTCCTCTGTGTAAAAATAAATAAAATCTTAGAAAAATAAACTAAGTCATGTTAACGTGCCAATAAAGTAGTAAACAAACCAACATTTAAAAAAAAGGAAAGTATTTCCCACTGTGAAAAGTTACCACATCAAGTATGGATTATTAAATATCTACATACTTTACGGGAGTTATATTGAAAACAGTAATACTGTCTTACATATTTGTTCTTTCATGTATTCAACAAATATTTATGGACCTTGTTCTTGGCACTGAGGATACAGGAGAAAACAAAGTCCCTGTGCTCACCAAGTCAACAAATATACCACAGACCAGAGAGACAGTGCTACAGAAAAAATAACGGTAAAGCGGGTTAAACACATGGTAAAAGGAAAGTGGTGAGGCTGACATTTTCAACTGGGTCATCAGGGAAGGCTAAATAAAATGAGCGACAATATATACATCCATGGGGGGGGGGCAAGGCAGGGGTGAGGTGGGAGGCCGGGAGGGCGTTGAGCGTTCGAAGGACAGGAAATAGCAAGCGCAAAGGCCCTGAGGTGAAAATGAGCTTAGCAAGTTCAAGAATAACAAGATGGGCAGTAAGGATGGGAGCAGTAAGCAAGGGAAAGAGTGGCAGGAAATGAAGTCAATGAGGTCATCTGAAACAGACCGTGACTGGTAAGGCACAGTATCATCTTAGGATTTACCTGTTGTGGTCTGCAGTCTCCAATAGAAGGAGGGAGGTGCTATAGAATCCCCCTCAGGAAGTGCAGGTTTCTGCTGCCCAGAAAATAATGTAGTAGGAAGTGATGTAGTAAATAGAAGTAAAGTAGCCAGACTAGCTTACTCAGAGAGGATTCTAAAACCTAGGCCCCACAAGCCTTCTACATTTCTCTTTTCCCCCTTTCTTAGAATCATAGTTTGGAAGGTACTGAACAGACCACCTAGTTGTTCCTTCTTCTTTTCCCGACTTGGAAACTGAGGTCCACAGAAAGCCTAAGATTTGCTGAAGGTTACTCAGTTCACTAATGGTACAACTGGGACTAGAAATCAGACTTCTGAATCCTAGCCCATGGCTTTTCCAACCACATCATGCTACCTCTGCCGTCATCACACACCCATGTTTCTCCAGGTTTGTGTTTCTCATGACTCAAAGGGAGGAAGGGAGAGGGAAAGGAAAGCAAAAGAGAAAAATGGAAGAAAGAACATCTATCTATGTTCCGTTGCTCTACTTCTTCATGGATCTTGACTGTTTTCTCCTCAGTATCAATGACTCTCACAGGGGTCTCAGAAAACTATTTTATCAGTTTCCCATGGTAAACTCTTTTGTTAATCCCATTGTGAAAAGTCCAACACCATAAATACGAGTTAATTTGTGTGTTCTCTAGCCTGTATACACACAGTCCCAAAAAATATATTTGCAATAAAAAAGAATACTCAACTGTGAAATATAACAGAAGAAATAAGAGAGAAGAAAAGGAAGGAGAAACTTAATAGTATAAGGGAAATAAGACACAGTCTTGTCAAACTGTTTTCATTCTAGCCCTAGCCAACTTCTGGTTATCCCAAATTCACACAGGACTTTTTGGATAATTACTTATTTCATCTCAATTTTTGGTTTACTGTTTGCTTTAGAGAAGCTCTAGTAAGAGCAAGAGAAATTATTTCATAAGAAATTGGCCATTTCCTTAGCGGTATCTGTCTTATACAGAAATCCTGATCCATGTTAGTAGAATGTAACCATAAAGTCACAGAGAATATTTTTAAATAACCATATCAAATTAGTGATGTTCTTTCAAGTAATTCCTTTGGGGAATGATGTATTTTAGTAATATCAGGTAGCACTTCTTTTTTTTTAAAGATTTTGTTTATTTATGTTTTAGAGAGAGGGGAAAAGAGGGAGAAACAGAGGGAGAGAAACATCAGTGTGTGGTTGCCTCTCACATGGCCCCTACTGGGGACCTAGCCAGCAACCCAGGCAAGTGCCCTGACTGGGAATCAAACCAGCCACCCTTTGGTTTGCAGGCTGACACTCAATCCACTGAGCCACACCAGCCAGGGCTTATGTAGCATTTCTGCCATCCATCACTAGAAATATGAGTCAGCCTCCATTTATGATATTACAGCATCCATATTTTATTATATACACATTCTATCACTTGAATTATAATTCTTTGTTTACGTCAGTCTACTAGATTATACTGTGAGCATGTCAAAGATGAACACTTTGTCTGGATCATCTTTGTAGCTCCTTTTCTAGTTCACCATCAGATCCAATAAAGTTTTAAAAAGTGAACAAGTCAGTGACAGAGACAGCACTTTATTAAAATAAAAAAAAATAAGGAAGTAGGAGCAATACCATTTCCAATGATATACCTGGAAGGAGAAGACCATCTGTTGTAGCAAATGTATAACCACAAAATCCCCGATACTGAATCAACAGTTTATCAAAATTTGCTGTTGTTTCTGGGAAAAGCCACTCTTGTTTTCTGTAATCCACCGATTGTACTCTTTCTTCTACAATGAAAAAAGATGATAAGAAGAACTTTATTCGATGGGAAGAGCAAATAACCCAAGGAAATGAGCAGAAGAAACTGGCTGCTATGTGACAGAAATAGATCAACTTCATTCAAGATGGTGTAGCATTTTATACCAGGTGGCAAAATACTTTGAATATGATGCTTATATACTAGGACTATTGCTTCTTGAAACAGTTGAGAACATTCTGAACAGAAAGAGGCAAGGAAACATCTCTTTGTAACTTAATTTTCATAACAAGGTGTACAATTTTTGTTCTTTACATTTTAAACACTTCCTGGTGTCAGTTGGCTAACCTATTTACATTTGATAAGCAAACTGACTGAATTTTTTCCACAAATAAAAACATGCATTTATAAAACACTGATACCCAAGATTCTTAGCTATCACAATCCTACTGCACTTCTGTGACTGGCTCTATACCAACTGCAGACACCACAAATGACTGTGCTACAACCAGAAGTAAATGCATACTTTGGAGAAAACAAACCTTCCCTCTTTATTTCCTAGTATGCCTGAAAGCCTTGAACAGTTATGACATGTGGCAAGTGTAAATTAAATTCTTTCAAAATAATGTTGGATCTCCTAATTCACTGGAGCAATATCTTGATGGTGTTCTAGGGAACACGAAGTTTTGAGGTATGGTGGGAAACAACACATTTAAATCTAAGTTGCGAATAAACTGTTTTGCTGATATAGTTAAGTGTAATATCAATGCTGAAGTGACTTTAACTTCTCAATTTAATTTAGTAATTGCACAGATATGCTGTTTTAGTAAAAACAAAATCAGTAAGAAAAATAACTGGAAGCATGCCTTTGAGTCTCTTTGATTTTGTTTTTAGATTTTATGTGTTCCAACAGTTTAAGAATGGAAACTGCTGCTTTATTTTTATTTCCCCCTTTTACAAAAATAAAATTTGAAAAGAAATCTGGAGAGTAAATTATCTAATTTCATCTTCTGGACAAACTTTGTTTTTAGGCAACAACTCAAGTGCCAGACCCTATTTTGGCATTTCTCATGAATTTTAAACTGTCTTTAAGATAGAAGGGAAAAAAAAGAAGTTTATTGATAAAGACAGATTTTCAAGAATCAATGCATTTCTTAAAGAGTCTAAAATAAGCTCAATTAATTTTGAAAAATTAAATTTCTAAATTTCAACTTGAAGCTGAGGCAAATAGCATTCTAAAGAAATGAAACTTTATTTGCAACAAATATAGCAAGGATTAATATGCTTTTCTACTACAAATCAATAATAAAAATCACTAATATTATAGTAGAAACACATAAGCACAGAAAATCTGATAATCAAAACACTAACCAAAATATTAGGAATGGTTAACTGAATAGTAAAATATACAGTTTACATTTTTTTGTTTTCCAAATTTTCAATAATAAAAATTATCTTACAATCAAGAAAGATGTCTAATACTTTATCAGAAAATATAATATGAAAATTTTAAAACAAAAGTGACATTATTCTAGAGGTAATTTTAAGAGGAAGAGGAAATAATGGATGGTTTCTATTACCCATGTGTTCTTTCAATCGATCCATATCAGTTTTTACAGTCACTTCCCCAAGAAGATCTTGTATTACTTTTTCAGGAAAGAGCACTTCATGAGTGCCCAAAAATCGCTCAAGGTTAGTAGTTAAATTAGTGAGGATACCAATCAAAACAGTTTCATCCTGAAGGCCAGTCCACAGGTTGGAAAGTTCAATGAAGATGGGCTGAGTAAGAGAGAAAAAATGGTTAAAATGTAATGGTTTGATAAAATTATAATCAGTGTAGTATTGAAAATAAAGAAATTATTTCTCAAGACAAGTAAAAGGCTTATGAAGTTAAACAAGAGAACCTAGATAGAAACTGGATCCACAAATTAGAGAAAATAAACTTGTATTTTATTTCAAAGCATTTTATTTTGATGGTTATTATACAGCTAATTTAATCAAAAAACCAAACACATTTGATCACCTGGCCTATTTCCAAACAGCAGATACCACAAATGACCTCGTGGCTACAAGTACAAGTAAAGCCATACTTTAGAGAAAATAAAGCTCTCCTCTTTTTCCTGACATGCCCGAAGGCAGGAAGACTTATGGATGCTTTACCTCAAAAGGTCAAAGGGAAAATAACTTCCTTTTTATATAAAAAGCTAAATTTTACTCATTATTAGGCTTAATCTGGCTTGATATGATTCAAAAGAACTTGGAAAGTCTAGCAATATATTTTGGGGCATGTTCTGTGAGCTGCAAGTTAAAGACTTTAGGTTAGTGAGATAAAATGTTTGTATTTGTATTAAAGGTCACTGACTTACAAAACAAACAAAAAAACTAATCAGGCTTAATATATGAGGTCTGTCCAGAAGGTATCCAGCCATTTAATATGAAAAATAGAGACATTTACTGAAGAAGATACAAGATACAAGAAATGTTGGACATAGGACAATGACACCTTAGTCCCCTTAGAGGTATGCACCTTGGGACCTCACACAGTTTTTCCACTAGATATTGGCTGCCCCATCATATCTTCCTGAATCTCATTGATGCTCTGAAATCTCTTCCCTTTCAAAGGTGAATTTGGTTTTGGGAAAAGCCAGAGTTGCAGGGCCCCAAGTCTGAGCTGTAGAGGGGCTGAGTGAGCTGGGTGATTTGATGTTTCACAAAAAATTCTGCACGAGACATGATGCATGAGTAGGTGTATTGTCGTGATGAAGCTGTCAATCACCAGTTGCCCACAGTGGTGGCCTTTTGAATCATACAAATAGTTTCTGTGGAGGAATGTTCAAGCTTAACACAAAATTTCATGCAGATTTGTTACTGTACTCGCTCAGCCATTTTGAATGCAATGGCCACACAGCACACATGCTCACTCAGTGGTGTCTACCACCTGCACTGACTAGTATAGTGAAGTTGTCATTGCTCACACATGTGCATTCCAGTCCACTCTCCTTGGTTGCTGGGTTAGATTGATGTTGTGCAAACCATTCTCATTATATTAACAATGGCTGGACACTTTCCAGACAGACCTCATTAGTTTTTAAAATCAAATATTGGGAATGATTATGGAAAACTACCAAAGCCTCAAAATACTGTATAAGATGCAGTTCATGCGCAGTTCACCTCCTTGGGGCTATCAGATTTGTTCATAAAATGGTACAGATAATCTGAAAAGTGGGCATCACTGCAGGCCTAGTAATCACAGTGATTATTATTTGTCTTTTCAGGAAAGTCACAAGTTGCATCACCTCTTTGCTGAAGGCAGTTAGAAATCAGCTACTGTGAACACATTTTCAACACTGTATTGTGGGTTATTTTGTTTGCCACTGCCAATATTGATATTATGGTTATTACTACATGTACCTGCATTTTCTTTAGTAGCAATTGCCTACCACGGGATTCCTGTCATCCAACTTCTACTGTTACTACAAAATAACCATCAAGAACAGGACCAACTTGTATAAAACCAATATTACAGTTTTAGTAATTAAATAGAGTTGGGAAAAAGTAGGCTTACAGTTGTGAGTATGCAAAACAGTTTATTCTTGTATTATTATTTATTAATTATTGTATTATTTTCCATAGAAACAACTATAAACCTACTTTTGCCCCACCCTATATAATTTTAATTACTTCTGATTCATTTTTATAGAGCCCAAAGTATATTCACCCTTAAATAAAGTCAAAGTTCATGGCAGATACTTACAAAGACTTGTGATGTTGGGACAGCTGTCTTTGCATTCACAATCATTTTCAATTGTTCAAGTTGGGCTCCTAACTGCTTTGTCATCATTTCCACTTCTTGAGCACTAGTAATTATTTCTGACTGTGAAGACAACATAATTTGCACTAATATTTTAATAATTTCACTACAAAAATCCCATCTATTTTAAGTCCCACCTGCTCCCTTGAAGGTAATCTCAGTGAGAGCAGGGATCCTGTTCTCCATGGTATCCCCAACACCAAGAACTGTACTGGCATACAGATGGTGCTCCAGAAGTGATGGTTGGAGGATACATTTTTAAAAACACAATGGCTATACATTTTCTCAAATGTATACAGGTATTCTTTCCTATTCAGTATAAATGTAATTATACTGAATTCCTGAGAAGTGGATCCTATGACACAGCTTTGCAAAGCTGTTATTTCTCCATTCCTCAATGATAAAATTAATGAGGTGTTCCTCTGAAAACTATTCTTTTTTTAAAGATTTTATTTATTTATTTTTAGAGAGGGGAAGGGAGGGAGAAAGAGAGAGAGAGAAACATCAATGTGTGGTTGCCTCTCATGTGGCCCCCATGAGGGGACGTGGCCCAGGCATGTGCCCTGACTGGGAATCGTACCTGCGATGCTTTGGTTCGCAGCCCGTGCTCAATCCACTGAGCTATGCCAGCCAGGGGATGAAAACTATTCTAATACTAAAATTTTTGAAAAGTACTTTCAAGAATGTAGAAAATCTTAAAAATCTCAGTATTGAAAGAAAAATTATATACTTCTGATACAGCAATAGTAATATGAAAATAAGATGCTGAATGATGAGTCTGAAATAACATTTATTCTTACTATGTGCTAACACTATATTAATAAGTACACAAAGGGGTAAACACAAATAAGAAAACCAAGGTATAAAAAGGCAAGTACATTGCCCAAGGATACACAGATGATAAGAGGTAGAATCATGTTTTTACCCCAGACCATCAGAGCCCAGAACCCAGCTCTTACCCATTATACTGCACTGCCTAGGATGTGATCAGAAGTGATGGTGGTATGGGTTTTTCAGTACAGTGTAAAACAGTGACATTTACTTGAAGTGAAAAAAGCACATTTGAGTTTTCAACTATCTAGAGCCTAACCATATGTTTACTAGACCATTTTTAAATAACAAAAAATTACTTCATAACAAATATCAAATATTATTACTGTACTTCAACTAATAAAAATTTTTATTCACAAATATAACAGGCATTCTGTTTTAATTTTACCCATACTATCCTTTAAGCATCTTCCCTCTTCTTGTTTCATCCTCCCATATAACATTATCTGTCCTGTATAATGGGTCTTCTGTCCACCTCACAGAGACTTATCCCCCTAGCCTATTAGTTCTATTTTAGGGATCAAACATGAAAATGCAGTTCTTAAAGTCCTTAGATTTGTGCAACAGCAATAAGAAACAGAAATAAATCTATGTGTGCCCTCCAAAGTAAAACTTACATTCAACACATAACACTTATTTTAAAAAATTTTTCATTAAATATGTGTATTGATTTTAGGGAGAGAGAAAAAAAACATTGATGTGAGAGAGAAACATCCAGTGGTTGCCTCCAACAGGGGAATGAACCTGCAACCTTTTAGTGTATGGACAATACTCCCACCAAGTCACACTGGCCAGGAAACATGACACTTCTTAAAATCTACAACTACAGATATTCTAGATATTCTTCCCCAAATATGTTTTTAGGGTCCACTCACAGAGGAGGTACACAGAACTTCTTGATTTTTCCTGTTAATGCCTTAGAATAATCACTCTGTTTACATTTTACCAAAAAAGACTTTGTTCACAACCACAATGAGGTTTTAGTTGTAAAGTTATTCCTCACAAATAAATGGAAAGGTATTCTGTGCTTATGGATTAGAAGAGTTAATATTGTTAAAATGCCCATACTTCCCAAAGCCATATACAGCTTTAATGCAATTGCTATCAAAATTCCAATGGCATTTTTCATAAATGTAGAAGAAACAATCCCAAAGCTTGTGTGAAACCACAAAAGATTCCAAACAGACAAAACAAACTTGAAAAAGAACACAGGTAGAAGCATCATGATTCCTGTTTTCAAACTATATTACAGAGCTATAGTAATCAAAACAGTATGGTATTGTCATAAAAAACAGACATATAGATCAATGGATCAGAATAGGAAGCCCCAAAATAAATCATGTATATATGGTCAATTAGTTTACAACAAAGGAGGCAAGAATATACAATGGAGAAAGGACAGTGTGTTGGGAGAATTGGACAGATACATGCAAAAGGATGAAAATGGGCCACTATTTTACACCATTCACTAAAATCAACTCAAAATGGTTTAAAGACTTGAATGTAAGACCTGAAACCATAAAACTTCTAGAGGAAAACATAAGTAGTAAACTTCTAAACATCAGTCTTGATGGTAACTTTTTGGCTTTGACACCAAAAGCAAAGGCAACAAAAGTAAAAAATTAACAAGTGGACTACATGAAACTAAAAAGGTTCTGCTTAGTAAAGGCAATCATCAACAAAATGAAAATGTAACCTACCAAAGGGAATTTGCAAATCATGTATTTCATAAGGGATTAATATCCTAAATACACAATAAACTTATACATTTCAATAGCAAAAAAATCTAATTTAAAAAATTGACAAAGGATCTGAATAGACATTTTGAAAAGAAGACATGCAGATGACCAACTGCTCCACATCACAAACCAGGGAAATGCAAATCAAAACCACAAAGAGCTATCATCTCACACCTGTTAGAATGTCTATTACCAAAATTACAAGAGATTAATGATGGCAAGAATGTGGAAAAATATGCACTGTTGGTGCAGATGTAAATTGGTGCAGCTACAATGGAAAACAGTATGGAGTTTACTCAAAAAATTAAAAAGGGAACTGTTATATGACCCAGTAATTCCATTTCTGGGTATATATCCAAAGAAATGCAAAACACTAATTCCAAAAAATACATGCATCCTTATGTTAATTGCAGCATTATTTACAATAGCTAAGATAAGGAAGCAACCCAAGTAACCACCAATAGACAAGTGAATAAAAAACTAGTGGTACATATATACAATGGAATATTACTTAGCTATAATAAGGAATGGAATCTTACGATTTGTGTCAGTATGGGTAGACCTAGAGGGTATTATTTTAAGTGAAATAAATCAGACAGAGGAAAACAAATAGCATGTGATTTTACTTTTTTATGGAATCTAAAGACCAAAATAAAAAAATTTAAAAAAACAGAAACAAGCTCATAAAAACAGAGATCATACTGATGGTTCCCAGAGGAAGGGAATTTGGGGGGGCTACATAAAAAAGATGAATAGATTAAGAAGTACAAATTGGTAGTCACAAAATAGTCATGCGGATGTAGAGTACAGCACAGGGAATATAGTCAATAATATCATAATAATTACGTATGGCGCTAGGTGGGCATTTGAAATATTGGGGCAGCCACTTTGTAAAGTATATGATTGTCTAACAATTAGACTATATACCTGAAATTAGTACAAAGTAATATTGAATGTAAACTATAATTGAAAAACACACAAATGGACACTGATTAAGCAGCAAAGAGAATGTGAAGAGAACTCATCCCAACCCTGACTGATGTTAGTAAAAAATAGTCATGACAAGTGCTAAGATCAGAAAATTAACTTTCTCAGTAACATGAACAGCAAAATGCTTGGGAATGATATGCTGTCTAGAAAAACGAGAGTTCTCCATCTTATGCCCCTACCAAAATGAAATCAGAGCTGTTCTGCTAAAACCCTAACGATGGTGATAACAGTAATAATAAACATCACCAGTGGCAGTGCCACCATCATCATCAACTTACCGAACTCTTACTATGTGTCAGGTACTGTGACACCTTACTGACATAATGAAGACTATCAATAACCCCATTTTACAAATGTGGAAACTAAGGCACGAAGAAGTTAAACAACTTCCTCAAGGACACAGATTTAGTAAGTGGGAAAGTCAGGGTCAGAACCCATGCAGACTGGTTGCAGAGCCTGCACTCATCACTTATACACACTCTACTTGACTGTCCCTTCAGCTCTGAGAGTGAGAACTCCAATGAGAACTCAAGACTGTATGTTAGTTGGTTGAAGATGATTCACAATTGAGAGCTGTGAGAAGATACTATATAATGAGCAACATTCTCTATAACATTCTTATAGTGTGTGAGACAGTATCCCAAGGTTTATTCTTATGATATCTCTTCCAAATGCATAAGACAAAAGTAAATGTTAGGTCTACTCCTATGGACCTCTAGGCACTTCAAGATAAATTGATTGTAAAATCCTTTCCATATCTGACTAGTTACATAAGTCTGACAGCCACAAGTCAATGTTAGGGGAACATCTACCCTAAAGAATGATTTGGTTTTGAATAGCTGATTTAGAATCCTCCATTCTGAAGGCAATCAGAGAGCGAATCAGTTATAAGGACCACTCCCGGGTTATGGCAATGAAGTCATGTCATCTGGATGTTTATCTTCCTATTCTCCACAGTGGTGGTAAAGAAAGAAGACAGATCAAGTGCACCCAAAAGAAGAATCAAGTTATTAACATATAGTTAAAAAGAAGAAAGGATTAGAGCACATCACATTCTACCCCTCAACACATTAGTGCTCACTCAAACAAAAGACAGCTCCCCTGACCCTGAGTCTCAAGGTGACTGGAAAATAGAGGCTTTGTAAAGGTAAACAGGGACGAGGAGGGGTGGATATGTTAATTGACTCAATGCAGGGAATACAATGGGGATATAGATATTTGGTCAAATAGTCCGTTTAGTTTTTTCTATAAAATAAAAGTCACATTTTTCATTTTCACTATTAACTTATTTAGTTAACTTGATTTAGACTTGGAGTATGTTGGCTATCATCTGTTATTTGTTTCTAGTGGTGCTGCTAAACATCTTCCAATGCACAAAACAGCCCCACAGCAAAGAATTACTTGGTAAAAATGTCAATAGTACCAAGAAACTTCACAAACCACTTTTTACATGTTCAATCAATCACATCACCTTCTTATGGACAAATCTTTTTTTGCATTTCAGTTGTGTTTTTACCTCTCTTGAAATCATAAAGCATAAAAGGTCAAAAATGTTGCATATCCTTTCCATCTTCAGTATTAAAATGGTTACACAAAAATTCACCAATTTTGATAAGTTTTTTTTAAATGCATGCTGATTTGACAGCTGTCACAATACAATCTAACAAAATTGTTTCGAATGAAGTTAAAGACAACAAGCACTACTAGAGCCACTGTATGGAAAAAAACTAAATAAACTTTTCAGCCAACCCAATATCATCACATTGTACAGTTTAAGTATCTTACAACTTTGCTAATTAAGCCTCAATAAAGCTAAAACAAAAATAAAAACAGTAATTGGTGGGAACATAGCTTGCTGTCATGACATTGTTAATAAACTGTGTTCCCTGGAACCCTAGGGTGCCATGAGGATGTTCCATGGGGAACAGTTCTCCATTTCTTTAATCTAAATACCTGTTTTACATTTTTAGGATCCTGAGTAGGTTTTTGTCTGAAAGAAAGTGTTCTCCTACTTTTAAAAAGTACAAAATCACTACTTTGCCATGTTTTCCAGCACTTTGGGGATATTGTTTGGCTTGTTTATTAGATCTAAAAAACATCAGAAATAAAAGTTTTTTTCTACCAATTTTTACAATAAGAACAAATAATTACATAAAAATTATTTGAGTGCCAACTGCCTGCCAAACAATATGTTAGACACTTAGTCTGAGTGCAACACTGCAGCATTCCTCTCTCTCTCGCACACACATACACCACTTACTACAGCATGCTAACAATCATACTACAGAGTACCAAACAGAACCGACAACTAAAAAATCAACTCCTACCAATATATTTTCACTAAGGGCAAAGTCCAGTTGCCCCATTTCTATTTTAGTTCCTGGGCCTTCAGATGCAATATAAACTGAGCAGTTATTAAGATTACCTCCTTTATCAACAAGCTGGTTCTACCTTTTGTTTCAGCCCCATAATATCTAAAGCGGTTGCATTCTATGGAAAAGGCAGGATCTTATGACACTAACTTACCAAGATGATCTGAAGGAAGATTTCATACTGTCGCACATTATAGACTGCTTCTTTTAACATATATGTCTGCAGTTCTGTACTCATGAGTGGGTTCTTTGTTACCCTCTCGAGGATGGCCGTGTAACGGTATGCCTGGTCTTGGGCAGTCTGAAGTTGGGAGTCAATATGCTGAGTGGTGGCTGGGATTGCTTCATGTAGAATAGCTGGCACTGTTTTTAAAGGTATATTAAGAGAGACATGAAGAAGTCTAAAAAGAATTAAGGAGAAAAAGCCTAAAAATGGTCATATTTCTATTATTAAGTTGAGTTAGTTCTCATGTCAACAAAATTAATAATGATAAGGCATGTATTTCATGGTTCTCACATCATGGAAAAAAGTACCCCCCCACACACACAAACCTTGTCTAAACGAAATATATTGTCAGAATAAAAACTGAAGATAGAGAAGATCAGCTGTTCCCACAAACACACAGAAGAGCCTGAAGGATTGATAGGCTTTGGTACTATGTGCTATTGACCATGTACCTCCCAAAAAGTCACTGTATCTTTCCTTCTGTATATCTTCTTTTTTGTTTGTAAAAAAACAAGAAGAAAAAGCATGCAAATTAAGAAACTCACTGGGATACTGAAAAGTAACAGAATAATCTAGCAAAATAGAGAACTTTATGAGGAATGGGAGTTGGATTTTTTAGAACAGATTTAAAATGCAAAAATTTACCCCATTGTACTAGATCAGTGATCTGCTGAAAGATTATAACCCCTTATCAGTGGACCTGTATGTGCACCAAATTCCTAAGGAAGTTATTTCTACTGGTAGGTCCTTCATCAAATATTTCATGAGTACCTTCAGACTTGTAGATAATAAATCCATATTACCGCATAGTAAATGCTCCTGAATTTAAACATTTGAAGATATCTCCTCCTGGACCTTTTCACTCCATTAACTGTATCAACAACTGTTTTATTTTCAGAGTGATTTCTATTTTTAAATCACTGAGTTTTACTCCCTTTTCGTTACTTGACTTGGAGTAAAGTACACAAAGCCCCATGAATGAGGGAGGCTGGTTTCTGGACTTGCCCCCTCATTCCTTTCACTGATTCACTCTCCTATACTAGCTAAAAATTACTACACATTGTGAAAAGTAGTTCTAACTAAGACACAATCAAATCTGAAATCTAAGAATAGTAGTAGTGTACTGGGTATTACTTTCCTCTCTGTGCAAATTCAATTCTAAACCTGCATAACCTATAGAATTAACATAATGATAGACCTACAGTACTCAATGCCTTCTCCTCCCTTTCCAGTGTCTCGGTTAAATAAACGAATTCCAGTAACGATCATGGAGAGTTCTTTCAGGTGGCATTCTTTCTCCTTCTTAGAAAGAGCTAGGAATGTCCCGAGTTCAGCCTGAGGAAAAACACTCTGTAGGGCAGCTAAAACAAACCACAAAAAGGACAAGATTATAAAACAACAACAACAAAAAAACAGAACTTAAGTCACAAGTTTCTTTCAGCAGAAAGTTAAAAGGCCTGTCTTTATAGAATTACTTATATGATTCTTTAATATTCTGGTACCTGATTACAGAATGCATAGCAAAATCGATCATATATTAAAGCTGAGCTACTGAAATACTGCCATTGCCTCATTTCTGTTTTTAAGAATTAAGCATCCATCAGTAATTTTTGGCAATGAGCATTAAAATGAGCTTTCTAATTAGAGCTATGAGTAGAAAAATTGATGCTTTAAAATAATTGTGAAAGAAAGCCATAAGAAGGTTAGAGATCTTGCCTATTCTTTGCCTTAAAGTGAGAAAGTGGACTAGTTTTCCCCAGGAATAAAACAATGTCCTTTTCCAGCATCCACTTTAGGTGACAGACTCAACTCTTTTCCTTATTGTGAAATCTCACTTTCCTGTGGTCCCCATTACCCAATCAGCCTGGTATCCTGAATCACACTGCCAGTGTTTCTTTAATGAAGAGGTGTGGGTCCCTGGATATGTACAGCTCTAAGATATTAACAATAGTCAATTTACAGAGATGCTACTTGAGTTTTAGAGTTATTACACAGTGTAAAAGGAGTCTGGATAAGTTTTAACTTCTTATTTCAATTAACTTTGTTTTGAGATAAAAAGGAATCTTCAACACTTGTAATCTAACAGATTTTCTAAGATATAGTGTTCATCTACTTTCACTTATAGAATGGAAATTTTTTTTTTACCTGTTGTCTCTCTGACAATCTTGATATCTGTAGGGGATCCAACCCCAGAGCGCAGTAACACATAGCTGACAATCTTTCGGTAGAGGCTTTCCAATTCGTCTCGAGCACAAGCTCTGTTATCTGTAATTTCTCTGGTAACAAGGCCTAATTTAGACTCCACAATCCGGTGATGTTCTTCAAGAAATTCCTCTAAAATTGGCAAAGGACAATGTTCTGTATGTTTGATACTTCAAATTGTTCTCACATGAAGAAAGTAAGAGCAGTAAAAAAACAATGGCTGGGGCATAGCAAATCTACTACTGCATGAAAACAAGTATTTTCATAAAATGTCATAATAAACAGTGTCCAGCAGTTAACCTCAAGAAAAAAAATTTAGTGGGAAAGATTTATTACAGCAATTTAAATGGCATACTTGTCAAAACATATAAGACTTTAAATAGGCAATCCAAACAGTAATGTCAGAGGGCTAAAATCTCCCAAGCAGAAAATACACAAGACAATATTTATTGGGTTGGCCAAAAAGTTCCTGTGGCTTTTTCCATAAAATGAAAGACACATTTTTTTCATTTTCACTAATAACTTTATTGACTTGGACATTTTGAGTATATTGGCTATCTCCTGCATGGTAGAATGTTGATTGATCTCAATGTCTCAATTTGATTGCTATCAACTTCAACTGGTCTACTTGACCATGAGCTTTGAATGACACTAATGATAATAGGATGTTGCATCAAGAATGGTCTCCCTCTCCTTTCTTCTCATGATATGATGAGGTCTATACTTAATTGTGGCAGCCACAATTCACCAGCAGCACATTCCTTGAAACTAACTCAACAAAACACCTCATTTTACTAATATTTAATACATGAATGATACACAGTTCATACCTATAATCTTTTTACAAAAACAAAATTTTTGCAAATAAAAAATCTAAATGATAATGTCAATTCCACAATTATGTTTTGCTTAAAATTATCATTATTTTCAAGGAAAAAAGCAAGATATATGATTTTACATATGTAGCATAAATGAAAGTGCAATACACAGGAGAAAAAAAGACAATGCAAGTTAACAAATGGCTAATAATAATTGTATTACTACAGTGGGGCAGAGGCAGTGTAGTCTATAGAGGAATTTATTTTCCTTTTCCTCTTGTTTCTAGTTTGTGAAGTAGCATTAAACTATTTACATACGAAAGCATGTTCTAAATTTAAATTTACTATCATTCATTTCGTTTTTGTGTTAATTATATATTTTAGGTAAGCATTATGAAATTATAATACAAACCAATTATAATACAAAAAAAATCAACAAATTAAAAACTTGAACTTCAATGGACTGGCTGTTTCAATTTCTAATTTTATGTATTGGAGGTACTACAGTCAAAATACAATAAACTTGGAAACATAATTATTATGGGCATAATAATTAGACTTTACTTTTAATGCTCAGAAAGGCCACTGATGTTTTTTTCCTTCAGCATTTCCAACATTATCATATTTTTCAAAATTGGAAAAAATTTCAAAAGGTAGACCAAAAAATTAAACCAAACTTGTCAACCAAATGAAGTTCTTATTAGCTTAAATACCATATGAATCTTTTTTAAAAGTATATCAAAATTGGTGGATACATGTTACCTCGATTTGTATAATTCATATCAAAGTAGACTTGCATCTTAATGGTGTCCAGGGATGGATTCTTACTGTCCAATAGTCGACCCACACAAAGCTAGAAAAGAATACCCCAATGAACACTTCTCGTTACAGTTTCTATAATGATCTGAAGTATTTTCTAAAGTTATTTTTTAAAATACAGGAAACATCACAGTAATAATGTCTAATATTTATCTACCAATAACCCTTCTTACTATTATTTTTTATTTTTGAGGACTTCATGTTTTATAATTCACCCAACCAACAACAGTTATTTCCCCAGACTTAACCAGTATCACCATACCCAGGTGGGGTAATAGTCGAGTTGAAGGCAAGAAATTTGACATTTACCAGACTGTTGTGGCTGAGTGCACTGAGTGCTGGCCTGAGAACCAAAGGTTTGCTGGTTTGATTCCCAGTCAGGGCACACGCTGGGGTTGTGGGCCAGGTTGCCAGTATGGGGTATGCAAGAGGCAACCACACATTGTTGTTTCTCTCCCTCTCTTTCTCCTTCTCTGCCCCCTGTCTAAAAAAATAAATAAATAAAATCTTTAAAAAAAAAGGAATTTGACAAACTGGTTAGTCTATACAATCTGAATGTGGGTAAATGTTCCATGAAGCTTATGGTTCCTGTCTGAAGCTTTTATAGATTTCCTGACTCCTACTTAACTGAGCCTTAACACTCTTTGCTGATGCTGAAGATTATATGCATTTTATGAAAAACTGTTGCAGCTACTCTCCTCTGCTCACAAAATTTCTTTGGCTTTGCCTTCTACTTCAAAATTTCCTCCTCTATTCTGTTTTCTCCTACTTTTTCCCCCTTTTCTGCTTTGCCCCTTTATATTGGATGATAAACCTGAATTTTTTTTATCTTTAGTCTTTATACCTGCAGTTGGCAGGCACATCGGGAGCCTCACTCTTACCCCTCCTCCCAGCACCAGCCCTGCCTTCCTGGGCTCAGGGAGGAGAGAACACAAGAGTGAGGACAGGACACTTTGTCTTCATGAAACCTGTGCCCCTGGATCCCTCCACGTGGAGAGAAGGACTGCTCTAAACACGGAATTTACAAAGACTACCTCATCCAGGCAATTTTTTTTTAATATATTTTTTTTAATTAGAAGTTTTTTGCCCTGGCTGGCATGGTTCAGTTGGTTGGAGCATTGTCCCATAAACCAAAAGGTTGACAGTTTAATCCCAGGTCAGGGCACACATCTAGGTTGCTGGTTCTACCCCTGGTTCAGTCCCCCATCAGGGTGCATATGGGAGGCAAATGATTGATGTTTCTTTCTTTCCTTCCTCTTTCTTTAAAAACAATGAAAAAAATGTCCTCAGATAAGGATAATAAATTTAAAAAATAATTAAAATATTTTTCAATTATAGTTTACATTCAACATTATCTAAGTAATTTTAATTGAGAAGAAATACAACAAACTTTGTCATTTAAATTATGATATACATTGATAGCTAATATACCTGTCATATTAGAAGTATATTGAGCTTGATTTTTTCCAACTTAGTTGAATTAGAGGAAAAATTAAAATTCTTTTTTTAACCCTCACCCAAGGATATGTTCGCCAATTTTTTGAGAGAGAGAGAGAAACATCCAAGGGCTCACTCCCGACCCCAGGACCAAACCTACAAGCCAGGTATGTGCCCTTGCCAGGAATGAACCAGCAACCCTGTGGTGCACAGGATGATGTTCCAACCAACTTAGCCACCTGGCCAGGGCAAATAACTCTTCTTGAGCCATGAGGAGAAGAATAAATCTTTTCTGCCCCTCTTTGATTCTTCTTCATGACTTTGCAATAAAATTTCTGATTGACTACCAGTTATTGCCACTTTGCTGAGAATGGGTTGTATACCACATTTAAAATCATCACAGAGAGACCCAGCTCGAGGCTGCCTTGAAGAATCATGGAGTCTGTACTTAACGCACAATCATCCTAACATTTTCCCCAGCTCAGACTCTCAAATCTCTTTCTGGCCCCTCTAGCCCCTGCAAATAGACCTATGCTCCACTGTGTGAATTGCTGGCTGTGAAAGAAAGAGAGGATAATGAAAATTTTCTCTGCCATTTCTTTGAGCCCAGAAAATATTCACATACAAGTTTGGGAAAGCCTGCATCAAGTCTTCTGTATAAAGGAGGGAATTAAAACCATTAAGCCCAGGAGAAAATTTTTAAATGTTGAATTTTTGCCCTGGCCAGTGTGGCTCACTTGGTTGGAGAGTTGTCCTGTAAACTGAAAGGTTGTAGTTTTCATTCCTGGTCAGGGCACATGCCTGGGTTGTGGGTATACTTCCTGGTGGGGGTGTGTACAAGAGGTGAGGAGGGGTGCATACAAGAGACAACTGCTCTGAGATTTCTCATAATGATGTTTCTCTCTCTCTCCCTCCCTTTCCCTCTTTCTAAAATCAATAAGCACGTCCTCCAGTGCGGATTAAAACAAAGTTGAATTAGGGGTGTGTAGGGTGGGGGAGAGTAATGGGGAGAAAATGGGGACAACTATAATTGGACAACAAAAAAAAATAAATAAAATATTTTCTGATAAAAAAGTAAAATAAAATAAAATAAAAAATAAAATCAATAAGCATGTCCTCCAGTGAGGATTTTAAAAAGTTGAGTTTTTAGACAATACATTTAGGAATATTTAGAAAATAAATATTTAAACAACTAAATCCAGTGAGTCAAGCTTAAAACATAGAAAAAAATTAATGATGTCCTTTAGTTCTTAAAACTGGTTTTCAGACACATCTATTTTATATCTATTAGTTACTTTTTCCTTTAGAATTGAAAAAAGTACACTGAACCAATAATTACATGAATTTTAATTTAGTGCTATGTAAATTTACAGTATATGGTAACTCAGTTGATAATGTTCTGAATATAATACGAGATTAATAACGAGATGTCTCTAAAATACTGCAACAGACACCACTTTTTCCTTACTAACAAAGCCTCAGTTTGGATTGGGGCAAAGATTTCTTCAGCTAAAGAAGCCAAAAAAAATCCCAGGCTGACTTGAAATATTCTGGTCAATCAACATAAGCAGATGGGAGGGATCCTGAGAGAGCTATTACTTTCCTAATGGAAAGTGGAGACCCAATTGGCACACATATTTTGCTCTTTGTCCTCCCCCCCTTATACCTGCCTCAAGGTGGAATCACTGTGACCCTGGGATGAAATCCACATGCATGATGGTGACCCAGGAAACTAAAAAAAACAGCCTATGTATGTCCAGACTTTGTTTTATGAGAAAAAACATAATAAATCCCTTATTTGTGTGCACCACCATTTGGTGGGTTTTTGTTTCCTGGAGCTGAAGTCAATAATGAAGTCTAAACACATACTGTATTCAGAATTGCAAATAAATATTTCAAAATTTGAGACTCACTAGGTAATTACCTTAATGAGTTTCTGCACATCACTCTTTATGAGGACTCTGTCCATGTTAAAGCCATTACTGGGATCCAGGACAACAGCTTTCACCTGAGATAGGAAAGAGTCTATTAAATAATTTTAATTCATATTATTATAAAATTAATATATTTCCATTTTTTAAGCAACTGCCTCTGATACTCAGGTATTGATTATTCGGCTGACTTTCTTAGTACCCAATTTACAAGCACCTTCATCAAATTTGAATATGGTGTTAGAAAAATTATATGAAGAAATAGGTTGAAAGTAATGGCTAGATTTTAGATTGGCAAACTATTTGAATATTTTATTGTGTTTTTACTGTATATTATTAAACCAAAAGCAAAAATAGAGAGACCAAGGCAATGAGTAATTTTTACAAGTGAACAAAACATTGTTATAAAAACTGACAGTACAATACTGATGTTTCTAAACCTCATCAAGATCTTCCAAATCAGTCTATAATTCTAGAATTGACTTGCTTTATACACTTTTTTTAAAAAGTATTTTTTGCTAGCTTGTCCGATGATCTCAATAGGTTGTCAACTGAATAACATTTATAAAAGCTTTACAGAATTTTAAGAGGAAAATGGGCACTCTTTAAAAGCATTTTTTAATAAAGCAGTCATTCACAAAAATATTCATTCTTACCATAAAAGCAACCAGAGTTTCAGAAGGCACCTCTCCATGGGATGCACATTCTTGTCCTATCTCTCGAATGATATTCTTTATAACACTTTCAGCCTGAGTGGGAGGCATCCTGGCTAAATAAAACAATAATTGGTTTTTAAAAATATGTATGTATATATTATTTTTCTGCTTTAAATTTCTTTATATACAAAATACAAATACACAATATTTGTATTTGAAATACAAATTTATATTTGTAAAAGAGTCATAATAGTACTTATTAACTTATCCATATTTGTTAGCATGTAGGCCTCTCCTGTTTTTCATTAATGTGTTTTGTACTTATAAAAATGAGCGGCTGTGTTGATGAAGGAGAAATTGGAACTTCAAATGATTGAAACATTTCCTCTTTATTTAAATGATGGTGGTCACCAAAATAAATTTGTAAAATTTGTATTATATTTTTAAATTTAAAAAGGCTTAACGGTATGGAAGGAGCAGAATGAATGAAACCCTAACCCAATCTGTGTAGGTGGCAGAGTACAGCTTTAAAGGAGAAATATTTATTCCAACACATTCACCAAATGACCTTTCATAGTTGTAAGATTTTTGGAAGAAAGCCATTCTTGCTCTGAAATAATTCTCTTTATTGCACATCCAAGTTGGATTTCAGACTCAATTAAAAACATAAAAACCAAAACTGAAAACATGAGAGTTACGCATCATGGGAAAAAATGAACCCCTGGTTTTTAATTCCATTTACTAATGTGGCAGGAAAAGAGAAACTCCAAAGTTTCTCATGCTCTGTAACTGTAACACTTGCAAAATTTCACACAGGACTGTAGAAGCTGACCAGTCGTAACCAAAGCAACGGCCAGTTACTCAAGGTCGTACACAGACTCCCATGATAAGCTCCTGTGCTCTGTAGCTTCTGCAAATTCCTCCTGCGTTTTCTCTTTATCTCCCATATAAGGTAACTAGACCTAACTTCCGCATTCGGCTTCTGTAACCTTGCTTTGCCGTGTAGGTAGGAAGCCGGGGACTATTTAAACCCCCGGGAGGGTGAGGATCGGTGCTCAGAGGATTTGGATGTTAGCCACCCCCTCTGGGCCCCCGGGTAATAAAGTTTGTGCTTCGTTATCTCCCCGAGTGTGGGTGGATTTTCCATAACACTAACAACCAAGAAAAGGCAGGTTTTTATAAAGGTCATGGCGCGTCCGGGTTTTCCGAGCATCAGTAACTGAGAGCATTAGGTAATTTAGCCAGTACAGAACAAAGGCAATCCCGTAAGAAAAAGCTAACCCTCAGCATTATTAGTGTTCAGGTAAGGTAGCACTTGGCATTTTGTCCAGTACAACCAGACTGCCTGGCATGCATCCTGACGAGGACTGAGTGCCATATATTTAGCAATTAAAATAGTACGTGTCAGAAGCTCTTAAAATAGCAGCTTGTGAAAAGTACGCCAAAATAGCTGCCCCTGTGCGCTAGCGCCCGTGCGCGGGGTCGCGGTGGACAAACGTCGGCACCGCCCTCGCCCGACCCTCTGAAACACTAGATCTCTCGAGTTGACTCCCCGGCGGGTGCGAGGGCGCAGAGCAGAGACAGGAAGGCGAATCAGAGTCCTAACCTGAGGACCTGGGCGCCTCCGGGCGGAAGTGACCACTTTTTCCGCTCTTCTGCGGCGCCGCGGGAGAAGTCCTAACTGAAAAAACTCAGCCCGGCTGGACGGGATCCCCCAGCTGCGGGGGCTCTGCAGGCCGCCCTACGCTCGCCTCTTCACGGAGTGCATCTCGGGCTCCAGGGAACGCAGCCCGGAGGGGGCAGACCTGGGCCAGAACCTAGAGCGAGACCCGCGTTGATCTGACTCTTCGCCTGAGCCTTCAGAGAAGCTGGCCGCTCTCAGCAGCCGCCGCGTAACCATGGAGACCGAACGCTAGCAACCAAGGGGGTGGGGCCAGGGGGTGGGCTGGGCCAACATTGCCAGTTTGTATGGAAGGAAGAGCTGGAAGAAATTTTTTTTTAATATTAATATCTTGTATTTCACTTATTTTTTTATCATTGTTCAAGCACAGTTGTCTCCATTTTCCCATTATCACTCTCCCACCCCAGCTAACCCCACCTCCCACCCCAGATCCTACCCCGCTTTGGTTTTGCCCATGTGTCCTTTATACATGTTCCAGATAACCCTTCCCGCTTTATCCCGCCATTAATGACCCCCACCCGCCTCCCCTCTGGTTACTGTCAGTTTGTCCTTAATTTCAATGTCTCTGGTTATATTTTGCTCATTTGTTTGTTTTGTTAAGTTCCTCTTATAGGTGAGATCATATGGTATTTGTCTTTCACCACCTGGCTTATTTCACTTAGCATGATCCTCTCCAGATACATCCATGCTGTTGCAAAGGGTAGGAGCCCCTTCTCTCTTTCTGCTGCATAGAATTCCATTGTGTAAATGTACCACAGGTTTTTAATCCATTCATTTGCTGATTGGCACTTACCTTGCTTGAGCTGGAAAAATGTTAAAAACCAAATTGGCCCAGATTGAAGGCAGAGAAAGGTAGAGTCACTATATTTCAAGGTTAAGGTTATTTAACACAAGATTTCTTTTTTATTATTATTATTATTTTCAGAAAAACTTTCGCAGTGGGAAACAGCGGTTTATCGTGCATGTTTACCCAGCGTCAACAGTGGCTTGGTTGCAGCATCGCTCCTGTCAGAGGCTGCCTCACCCGGCCGATCATATTCATCATCACCAAACACAAGATATCTTAAACAAGGGTATCAACTTGCTAGCCTGAGAATTAAAATGCATTAAAAAACAAAGTGGGGTGAGGGGAGGTGGTGTGGGGGACTCAGGAGCCAGTTAGGAGAGGATGGGAAATCCGAGGGGTTGTATTGTTAATGGAGTTAATATGGAAGTATCTAGTTTTAAAAAACAAAGGTAAAAAGGATCGCAGTTTAATTTCATGTCTTGTTAAAGGAAGTTCATAACAGGATGGTCCAAGATGCTAGAAGAGAAAAACTGCACATTCAAGGACACATGATAAGGACATATCCCTGTCTGGAGTTGTGATATTGAGTTTTTCTACCTTCACAATAATGTTTGTTAGACCCACCTACTGACATGAAAGTATGAAACTGTATTAAACTAATATTAGAAGCAGAGCATCAAACAACAAAATTTTATTTGAAAACAGACTAGTGCCAGTAATTTTTCTCCAACTGCAAACAAATATATAGAGTATACTTTTAAAAAATCCCAGATTACTAAAAAATTAATCAACACAAAAATGCACACCATAAAGAGATTTTATTTATTTTCCCCTTCTATAAAAAATTCCTGGGATATGGGTAAAGCTTGTGCAAAAAATAAGATGTCAGAGAAGCGAGATAGATAATAGTAAAACATTGGAATTTTAAACACCTGATATTTAAGAAATGCAGATAAAGAGAGATATTAAGCAGGCATTAGAAAGTAATATAAACAAAAACCTTAAGTGCTGTCTTATACTTTTAAAAAGCCAAGTGCAAATGTTACATACAGTATGACTTCAACAATATTCAGATACACACATGCATAGTATATAAAAAGTGTGTAAGTCAATTTTCTAATATTATTAGCAGTGTTTGGAGGATAAGGGTAAATCATTATTTATTTTATTTATTTTTATTACTTACCTGAGTATGGCTAAGTTATTTTTATACTTTTCTGTAATTCTAGGTTTTCTATAACAAGATATATTATGATCTATAGAACAAAATAAAAATAATGGAGAGGGGGCTACCTATTTGTAGAGGTTAAGTCTAGTTTAGAAATACACAAGATAAAAAACTGTGGGTTTGGCTGGGGTGGGGGGGAGTGGTAGGGGGAAAATGCATACTTATGTGGATCCTGGGGCAGGATCTTTGTGTTGTGGCTGTGAGAGACAAATTCACACAGACTACAGCAGTCCTATGGAGAAAAACGGATGGCATGGCCACTCGATAAGTGAGAGAGAGGGCCCCGGCCCCTGCCTGGACAGGTGTTTATTGCTTTTCTGGGCACATTACATCAAGGATGGTCCTCATTTACTATGCATCAGGTTCACTGTAGGTGATTTCCTTTTACAGATAACAAAGGAAAGAATGTTGCTAATTTCTTCAAAGAGAAGGATGTTGCAGACCAAGGGGAAAAGTGGTTGAACTGTTTACACTCCATACTTAGGAGGTTTAGCTCAGATCTTAGGAATTTACTTTAGAGATATCCAGTAGGCATTTGCTGCCTCAATCCAGGGTGAGGGAGTTTTAGCAAAAGCAAGTCTCATAGCAGCCGCAGTACAATGCAGGCCTGATTCCCCACAGGAGAAGCTATCCGTGGGTGTGGCTCCTGTGTGCCGGACCTCACTCCCCACTGGCTTTTCCCAGTGGGAGCTGGGCTACATTCCCATGCCACGTGGAACGGTTCCCTATAGCAGACAACTGTAATTGAACAACAATAAAATAATTTTTTAAAAAACCATGAAGTGATATAAAAAAATTAACAGTGGTTACATATGAGCAATGAGATCATGGCTGTTTTCTTTTTCATACTTTAAGATATCTAACAAAATGTTTTTCATTAGCATATATTACTTATAAACTACAATATTAAATATTTTTAAGATGGGCTAACAAAAAAAGAAACAGACACATAGACAGCAGACTGATAGCTCTCAGAGAGGAGGGAGATGGGGAAGCTAGATGAAAAAGATGAAGGGATTAAGGAGAAAAAAAAACCTCACAGGCACAAAAGTTTTAAAAAATATGTGTCTTGTGCTTTTCATATTCTCTCTCATGTTCTGCATGTGTTACATAACAGCTCCTTTAAAAAAAAACTCAGCCATTGTGTTATTTTTTGTAATATATGTAGTACATCAACTGTGAAACTTTGGCAGTAAAAGAGTCTTGGAATTAGTTGACAATTTTTCCAGTTTAACTTTCCTTCTCCTCAAAGGTGCTTCAATAATGGAGCAGAAAGCTGAATTCTCAGGGTAAAGTGAGAAATTGTGAACAAGCAAGACAATGCAAGCCATCCTTAGTCGTTTCTTTTAGTTTAAACATGAGTTATTTTAAGTCTACTTTCCTACATCCTTCCAGTCAAGATCAGATCATTTCTTAGTCATCTTCCTTAGTGAGATTCCTTTTTAGATGTTAGTTACATGGGTACAGTTATGAAGAGGCAGAAGAAAAGCAGATGGTTAAGTTTCCTGCTGCAAGAATAGGACAGCTGTGTAAATTTATTAGTCTGACCCTTAAAAATCTACATCTTCTCACGATTATCAACCATCTTTAAAAGTAAGATGACCGCTGGACAAAAGCATTAATTCTTTGTTCCCCATGTCTTTCTCCAACACACTAATCAGTGCAGAAACAGAGATCTTAGGATCAGATTTTCACAACCTAATTCAGACCTGCCACCAAGCCTCCTCATTTTACCTTCTTAGCACATCTCGTATGCACTCCCTTCCCTAGGTACTATGTTTTAACTAAGACCTGTTACTGGAATCTCTTAAATGTTGGCATCTGCTGCACTCCCAGATCCAAAGCTGATCATGTAATCACCTATGTACAGCCCTCTGAAGACTTCCCACTACCTCTAGGGGGAAAAAAAATCCATCCCCCTGACATGAAATGCAAGTTCTTCCTTGATCTGGTTCTGTATCTTTAGACATGCACTGTCCAATATGGTAGCCACCAGCCACAAGAGGCTATTTAAATTTAGTTAAAATTACATGAGATTTAACATTCAATTCTTCATCGTACTAGCCATGGCTACCGTATTGAATAGTGAAGATAAAGAACATTCCCATCAATGCAGAAAGTTCTGCTGGACACTTGTTTCTCCCTTGCTGCACCTGAACTCAAACTTCCAAATGACTCACCTTTGAGGGTTCTGTGCTTCAGCTGAGGCAGCTTCCTTCGATTGTATTACTTGCCCTCCCCAACTGTGCCTTTCAAGATACAGCCCAAATACCACCCTATTAAGTGAAATCTTTCCCAACCCAATCCCCCACCCTGATACAACTGGTCACTTCCCCATTTGGGTCCCCTTTGTACTCTATGCAGACCTCCACCCTAGTGCCCCCATCGCTCCATGTCACCTGCTGTTCATACAATACTGTGACTCCACTGTGAGCTTGGGGGTGGAAGCAGGGACCCAGTCTTATTCATCTTTGTATTCCCGGCACCTAGACTAATGCCTAACTTATAGTATATGCTAAATAACTACTTTTGTGAGTGAATAAATATCACAAATAAATATTCATAAGGTAAAGATTCTATCAGTTTTCAAAAACAGAGAACACCTCAATTTAAATCCTTCACTGACAGGTAAAAACCTCAAAGAAGAAACATATTTTCAGTCAAGTCATCAGAATAGTGTAAAGCCTCTCTTAAATCACAATTCCGTACTAGAGTTGAGTTCCATTTAAAGTTAATCCACAAGAGGTGTGACAGTTTGAGTGGATAATTGAAGTGGTTTGATAGGTTCACTGAGGTGAGGCAAAATAAAGCAATTCTGACTTCAGCAACTATTAGACACACACCCACTATACAAAAAGCATGAAAATTTGGCTAGCATTCAAATATTTATTGAGTGCCTAGATTTAAAAATAGTTTATTGGGACTTTTAAATAATACATGCTCTTTACAGAAATTATGGGGGGCAAACTCATCATCTATAGTTTCATTAACAAAGATTAATATTGTTAGCATGTTTGTGTAATTTTTATTGTTTATTCATGTATGTTTGTTTTACATTCTTACCATACTTTATGTTTTCTTTTACACTTAACATTGCAACACAAATAGTTCCACATCTAATTATAGACTCTGTACACATTATTTTTAGTAGCTGT